AAAACAATGCCAAGCCCGTACCCATTCACATTCGAGGCACCGTCTGTGAAAAGGGTCCATACCCCCGATAATGTACCCGAACTTAGCAGGAGTTCTTTCTCCACTTCGGGTACGAGGGCCTGCGTAAAATTGGCCACGAAGTCATCTAGGATTTGAGACTTGATGGCCTTTTGGGTTTGATATTTGATATCGTACCCGCTAAGTTCGACGGCCCATTTGGCCAATCGGCCCGATAGCTCGGGCTTATGCAAAACATTTCGAAAGGGGTAAGTGGTTAATAAACATATAGGATGACATTGAAAATATGGTTTTAGCTTTCTAGATGCGCTTATCAATGCAAGTGCTAATTTTTCTAAGTGAGGGTATCTAGTTTCAGAATCTCCTAATAAATAGGGAATTGCGTACCTTGCTCTTCTCGAACTAGTACACCACTTACCCCTATCTCGGATACTGCCAAGTATAGGTAAAGTTTATCATCTACCTTTGGGGTGTGAAGCAAAGGCGAGCTCGACAGATATCGCTTTAATTCTTCTAAGGCTTGCTGACATTCAGGGGTCCACGCGAAATCCTTTTTCTTTTTGAGCAAGGAAAAGAACCGGTGAATCCGATTTGATGACCTCGAAATGAACCGACCCAAGGCAGCAATTCTTCCTGTTAGCCTTTGCACGACCTTCACACTATCTATGATCGTGATATCCTCGATGGCCTTGATCTTATCGGGGTTAATTTCGATACCCCGATTCGACACCATGAAGCCGAGGAACTTACCCGAGCCAACTCCGAAGGCACATTTCTCCGGGTTAAGCTTCATGTTGTATTTCCTCAAGATTTCGAATGTTTCCTGCAAATGAGCTAAATGGTCCTCTGCGCGCAGGGACTTAACCAACATATCATCAATGTAAACTTCCATTGTTTTACCTATTTGTTCTTCGAACATTTTGTTGACTAGGCGTTGATATGTGGCTCCCGCATTTTCTTGCCCGAAGGTTATTACGTTGTAACAATAAGTTCCAAATTTAGTAATAAACGAAGTCTTTTCTTGGTCCTCTGGGTTCATCTAAATTTGATTGTACCCGGAGTAGGCGTCGAGAAAAGTTAGGATCTCGTGGCCGGCCGTGGCATCGATCATACGATCAATGTTAGGCAGTGGGAAAGAGTCCTTTGGACATGATTTGTTCAAGTCCTTATAGTCTACACACATTCTAAGTTTGTTTTCATTTTTAGGAAATACAACTACATTGGCTAACCATTCGGGTTACTTTACCTCCCGAATAGACCCTATTTTAAGGAGTTTGGTTACCTCGTCCTTTATGAACGCATATTTCACCTTGGACTGGGGCCTCCTTTCTTGCTTCACCGGTTTGAACCTGGGGTCGATGCTTAGCCGATGTGTGGTGATTTCCGGTAGAATCCCTATCATATCTAAGTGGGACCAAGAAAAGCAATCCATATTATCAATAAGAAATTTAATGAGTTTTTTCCTAAGTTCGGGGGTTCATCCCGTTCCCAGGTATACCTCTCTCGGGCATGTATTCGATCAGTATGACCTGCTCCAGCTCCTCGACAGTGGACTTGGTTGCATCGTACTCTTCGGGAACGATGAAGGTTCGAGGAGTAAGGAAATCCTCTTCTTCGTCCTCGATTACCTGTTGCTCCGATTCCGTCGAGGCTGGGGACGGTGATTGCTTTTTAGCCGCCTGCTTACCTTTGGTGCTCGATTTCTCTGAGGTCAAAGGCTCTGGTATCGGCACCAACTCCTCGACTGCAAACATCTCCTTTGCAGCATGTTGCTCCCCGTAAACTATTTTCACTCCCTCCTCTATTGGGAATTTCTTTATCTGGTGAAGAGTTGAAGGCACTGCCCTCATGTTGTGTATCCATGGTCTCCCGAGGAGTGCATTATACCTCATGTCGCCTTCGATGACATGGAATTTCATGTCCTGTATGGTTTCGGCTACATTTACTGGTAGGGTTATCTCCCCCTTTGTCGTTTCGCTTGCCATATTGAAGCCATTTAGGACCCGAGACACAGGTACAATTTGATCTTGTTGGCCGAGTTGTTCCACGACCCTCGATCTGATTATGTTTGCAGAGCTACCTGGATCCACTAGAACACGTTTAACTTGAATTTTATTTTAAAGAATAGAGATTACCATGGCATCATTGTGCGGTTGGGATATGCCTTGTGCTTCCTCATCACGAAATGATAAGACGTCCTCGGGCACAAAGCTCCGAGTCCGTTTTTCTTTGGTGATCGATACCTTGGTGCATTTGAACACAGGTCCTTGCGGGACGTCGACTCCACCGACGATCATATGGATTGCATGTTGTGGTTCTTCCTGTTTATTTTTTCTGGCATCTCTCTCCCTGAAGTGGTTTTTAGCTCGATCATTGAGAAATTCTCGAAGGTGACCCTCGTTGAACAGCCGAGCTACCTCCTCCCTTAGTTGCCTGCAGTCTTTGGTCCTATGGCCGTGAGTGCCATGATACTTACACATCAAGCTTGGATTCCTTTTAGAAGGATCGGTTTTTATAGGTCTGGGCCACCTGGTGTCTTTGATTCTTCTAATAGCTGACACAATTCCCGATGCATCTACGCTGAAGTTGTACTCCGACAAGTGAGGTGCCTCTGCGGGGTCGATATGCTTATCGAACCCGCTCTTACTCATGAGTCTTTGAGAACTTAGACCTCAATCGTTTCTCTGATCGTTTTGGGGGGTGTTTCGACCCGAGCCATTGTTTCTTCGATCGACATACGGCTGATACCGCTCCTTGTTTAACCTTGATTCCCCGTCTGCGTCCCTCGGGGCTTAGCTGCCAACCTGTTAGAACGAACTGAACTCGAGAGGGCTCCCAACTGGTTGTCCTCGACCCTGATTTTTGATTGATAACGGTTGTGCATATCTGACCATGTCACAGCTGGATACCCGATAAAATTCTGCTTTAATTGTCAAGATGCAATCGAACTCCTTTCATTCAAACCCTGCATAAAAGCCTGCACTGCCCAGTCATCTGAGGTCGGTGGTAACTCCATTCGCTCAATCTGGAACCTGGACACGAACTCGCTCAACATCTCATCTTTCCTTTTTTTTAATCTTGAAGACGTTCGACTTTCTCGTGGCCACCATTTTGGCCCCGACGTGTGCTTTCACGAAGGCGTCTGCTAACATAGAATGAATCAATAGAGTTAGGAGGGAAGTTGTGATACCAAATCATAGCTCCTTTCGAAAATATTTCTCCAAACTTTTTTAGCAATACTGATTCGATTTCATCGTCGTTCAAGTCATTTCCTTTGATCCCGCAAGTGTATGAAGTAATATGCTCGTTAGGGTCGATTGTCCCGTTATACTTGGGTATATCGGGCATGCGAAACTTTTTGGGGATGGTCATCGGAGCCGCGCTCTGAGGGAATGGTTTCTGTATGAACTTTTTTGCATCTAAGCCTTTCAAAACTGGAGGTGCCCCCGGTATTTGGTCAACACGAGAGTTATAAGTTTCAACCTTTTTGTCATTGTCTTCAATCTTCTTTTCTCCGGACTCGATCCTCTTGGTGAGCTCTTCGAGCATCCTCATTATGGTGGGGTCATTCCCCGAGTCATTCCCATTTGACCTCTCTAGCGCTGGTTCAGCACGTCGACTGTTTTCATGTTCAGCTACACTCGGAGTCTTATTCTGACTTTGAAGTTAAGCGATGGCGATCTGTTGAGCTTTCAGCATCTCGAATATCACTTGGAGGCTGATTCCCCCATCACCCATTCCTTGTGTTCCTTGGCCACCAGATCGGGCTTCCCTGCGTACACTCCCTCCGGGGTCTATGCCTAAATTCGTGTTTAGAGCAATGTGTGAACTAACATCAACCGGTTCCATATTTGGCACTTCCCCGGGGTTTATTGGTGGTACACTGACCCCTATGTTGTTGTTTTCTCCAAGACATTTGTTGTGATGAACGGATGCGTTTTGTGAGCTAGACATGTTTCAGCCTGAGAATCAAAAAATCTTGACAAGAAAAAGTGTAAAAATAACGTATGTAATGAGAATCAATAATGAAATAATCACTATTATCTTTAGCCCCATGGTGGGCGCCAAACTGTTTACCTCGAAAATACGAGTAACAATTAAATTTGATTTGTGGTTTTAAAGATATGTGATTTAGTTCAATACTAATTAATAATTAAGAAATATAAAGTATAAATGAAAGAAATAAATGAATCAAACCAATGTTAATCAGCAGTGGTGACCTCGAGCTTAGTGACCTCGAGATAAACCAAGAACAATAAAATAAGAACAGTAAAGAGAAAGGACAACTCTGATGAACAGCAAACGAAAAGTAGAGAGTATATTCTTTGCCGTACCCTTTATATAATAGGGAAACCCTAAATAAGGTACATTTCTATTTACAGTAAGGAATATTATTGGTATAATTGTCTAACCGCCTAGTACGGAATCGTACAATTCTATTCCGGGATTTGTGCCATGATCTTGGGGACGTGGTAGGAATCTTGCTCATTCTGTTATAAATTTATAACGGTATTATTCGGGGTCGAGCATACTTGGCTTCGGTATACTCGTACTCCCATCTTCGGGCATTGCATTCTGTCCTCGAGCTCGAGTCCAGTCCGTCGACCTCGAACTCGACCTTACCGAACTCGGACCCAAGGCAATCCCTCGAGCCTGGAAAAATCGGGCGTGCTTGATTTCGACCGTATGCATTATGAATATACTAGTTCTAAAAATTTTAAAGCATCATAGAGCTTGAATATTAAAAGTATATAAAATGTACTTGGCAATTATGGGATTTCTGCACGAGATCATATGAATTTCTTAGAAAACATCCAAGTTCGGAGCTCTTAAAGTTTAGTCGCTAGTGCAATTAATAAAACAAAATTTTCTAAAGGAGAAAAGAGTGCCCGTGGTCCAACTCTTGTCTCAAAAATCAGAAACAATGAATAGATATATTCTTTACTTCGAGGATAAAATAACTAGAAAACCATTGGCTGGAGAGCCCATAGTAGCTAAAAGACCACTGATTTATCACTCCTTAGTTTTCTCCCCTTAACTCCTTAGTCCCAAACTCTAAATATCATTTCCAGTACTCTCAAATCTACTACTAGGGACTAGCAATCCAAAATTTCAGAAAAGCAAAAGCAAGATTTCATATATCAAAACTCAAGTAGAAAAAAGAGTTTTTAGAAAGAAAACCAAATAGCATGAGTTCAAGCAGGAGAGCATGGATAGTAGCAGCCAGTGTTGGAGCAGTGGAAGCTTTAAAAGATCAAGGTTTCTGTAGATGGAATTACCCTTTGAGGTCCTTTGCTCAGCACGCAAAGAATAATATGAGATCTTACTCTCAAGCTAAGAAGTTTTCTTCTACTTCTTCCTCGTCATTGATTGCAAGAAGCGAGAAGGCAAAGCAATCTGAAGAGTCTTTGAGGAAAGTTATGTACTTGAGCTATTGGGGTCCTAACTGATCGTCATTTTTACAGAGACCTGAAGATTTTCAAGTTGAAAAAGGAAAAAAAAAAAAAGGAATATGATGTAGAAAATGACTGTAAATAGAATATAAAGGCATGCGACCTTACGATTATATGTAAATTATCTATGAATTACTATGAAAATTTTGATGTCTTTATGTTTTGATGGATCAACTATAGTAGTAATATTTGCATTAATTCAGCATGCTTGCAATAATAAAGATGGTTTTAAAATTTGAAATACGTATAAATGATTATTAAGCAAATGCAAACTTTCTGAAAGGAGAGAAGTCTGCGATAATATAAAAAAAAAAGTCCCTGATCTTGATGTTAAATCTAGATTGAAGAGCATCTCCAAGGATCATGTATAAACCAAATAAAGAAGAATAGAGGAAGAAAAAGTAACAAAATGGGTCGAAATATTACGACGTATCTAACTAGGGGATTTAACAAATTAAATCTCAAAACATATTTAACAAAATTAGATATGAATTTTGCCAAATGGCCAGAATATCAAAATTGTTCCCATCATATAATTGTAGATAGTTTATTAGTTACTTCCTCCGGTCCATTTTAATAAACAAATACTTTTAGCCTCTTTATACAAGCAAAAGTTGCAACCAACATCATCCCCGCACGCCGGGCAGCCCATGAACCAGTCAAAACAAGCCTAGCACGCACGGGACAAAGGCACAAAAAGGAAGGGAAGGAGAGCCGAATACGGTTATCAAACTCAGAAAACACCATCCCCGTCAACCATCGAAGCGCCAAACAGAGCAAGTAACACCGTCGATCCACCTTCGTTCACCAACTCATCAGATCAGGATAAGGAGGATATCATCCTAACCCACCTTCTGCTGGTTGCTCAAACAAGAACGAAAGCGCGGCACGGGCGAGCGAGCATGGAAACATCCCAACTGAAGAATGAGAAATTATTACGGAACTACCGAAATATCGTTCACCAGACAAACCCGACGCCTTGGAAGTGATACCCTTCAAATGGCTTCCTCTCCCTCACTAAAAAAGGTCCCAATGAAGCCTTCCTGGGGACTTAAATAAATGGCCGACGAGGGGGAACCCCCCGAGGTCAAAGCGTAATTCATCGTCCCATCCACCAATGATACCTCAAGACCGGAAAGTGAAAAGGTTAGACAGGAAAACTCCAATATGTGTGTCAAATGAGTGTGAGAAAAGCAGCAGCGTTTCCTGCTCTTCGATATCACACTCACCAACGCAAACAAAATCAGGCGAACTGGGACTCCCCCTGAATATACCCCTCTCCGAAAAACCAAAACAACGACGGGTTTATATTTCGATGAAAGCTCGAAATAACACCCTTAAAGCCAAGAGCCTTCGCCAAAAAGAAGAGTTCGACCTCGATTGAACAACGACGGGTTAATATTTCGACGAAAGCTTGAAATAACACCCTTAAGGCCAAGGGCCTCCGCCAAAAAGAAGAATTCGACCTCGGTCGAACAACGACGGGATAATATTTCGACGAAAGCTCGAAATAACACCCTTAAGGCCAAGGGCCTTCGCTAAAAAGAAGAGGTCGACCTCGATCGAATAACGACGGGTTAATATTTCAACGAAAGCTCGAAATAGCACCCTTAAGGCCAAGGGCCTCCGCCAAAATGAAGAGTTCGACCTCGATCGAACAACGACGAGTTAATATTTTGAAGAAAGCTCGAAATAACACCCTCAAGGCCAAGGGCCTCCGCCAAAAGAAGAGTTCGACCTCGAACGAACAACGACGGATTAATATTTCGACGAAAGCTCGAAATAACACCCTTAAGGCCAAGAGCCTCCGCCAAAAAGAAGAGTTCGACCTCGATGGAAAACCAACAGGTTAATATTTTGACGAAAGCTCGAAATAATACCCTTAAGGCCACGGGCCTCCGCCAAAAAGAAGAATTCGACCTCGATCGAACAACGACGGGTTAATATTTCGATGAATGCTCGAAATAACACCCTTAAGGCCAAGGGCGGATCCGCCAAAAAGAAGAGTTCGACCTCGATCGAACAACGACGGGTTAATATTTCGACGAAAGCTTGAAATAACACCGTTAAGGCCAAGGACCTCCGCCAAAAAGAAGAGTTCGACCTCGATCGAACAACGACGGGTAAATATTTTGACGAAAGCTCGAAATAACACCCTTAAGGCCAGGAGCCTCCGCCAAAAAGAAGGGTTCGACCTCGATCGAACAACAACGGGTTAATATTTCGACGAAAGCTCAAATTAACACCCTTAAGGCCAAGGGCCTCCGCCAAAAACGAAAAGTTCGACCTCGATCGAACAACGACGGGTTAATATTTCGACGAAAGCTCGAAATAACACCCTTAAGGACAAGGGCCTCCGCCAAAAAGAAGAGTTCGACCTCGATCGAACAACGACAGGTTAATATTTCGACGAACGCTCGAAATAACACCCTTAAGGCCAAGAGCCTCCGCTAAAAATAAGAGTTCGACCTCGATCGAACAACGACGGGTTAATATTTGAACGAAAGCTCGAAATAACACCCTTAAGGCCAAGGGCCTCCGCCAAAAAAGAAGAGTTCGACCTCGATCGAACAACGATGGGTTAATATTTCGACGAAAGCTCGAAATAACACCCTTAAGGCCAAGGGTCTCTGTCAAAAAGAAGAGTTCGACCTCGATCGAACAACGATGGGTCAACATTTCGACGAGAATTCGAAATGATACCCCTAATACCGAAAGCCATCGCCAAAGAAAACTGGGACTTGCGACAGGATGATACTTTGCTATAAGCTCGAAAATAAAATCCCTACGGCTAAGGCCATTATTAGAAAAAGAATCTGATACCATTCGGACTTTGATGGATTAACACCTCGACACAAGGTGAAAAGCACCATCCCGTCGGCTAAAGCAATCATCAAGGCCCTAAGAAGCGGGAAGTCAGCACGCAGAAATCTACTTTGCATCAAAATTACGAAGAGCAAAACAGGAAAAGGAGTACAAAAGGCATGTAACAATGAAAAATCCTCTTCATACAAAGCTACCGCGCAAACAGCCGCAAATTACCTACAACTAAAACCAACGGAGTCCAAGAAAAGAACAATAAACAACAACAATAAAAAGGAAGAGAAACAATGATAGCAATTCTTTCACTCGGCACCATCTCCAGGAGATCCTCCCTCATCTCCCGCACCCTCATCAGCTTCCTGCATTGCAGAGTCATATCCACATTTAACACGAGCCTCTCGTGCCTTCGCCCGTGATCCTTCATATGCAGCCTCAGTAACGTTGCCCGCCTCCCACAAACTCTTGTAGATGTTCTGCTGGTCTTTAGCATGAACCCAAAGCTCGTGCAAATGACGAGGAACATCGGCGGAGGAGGATTCGATTTGAGCCAACAGTTTCTCCTTTTCGGCCTCAAGAGCAGCGACCCGGTCCCCTAGGGTCGATGCCTCTCGGTCGATCGTACCGATGCGCTCCGCAAGCCTCGCTTCATTAGAGTGGCCGTCGCCCTCTCCGATTCCTGCTCGGATTGGAGGACGCGGATGGTGTTCTCTAATGCCACCGCCCTCGCCAAAGCCGATGACCAAGCACTCTCAATATTTTCCAAACCGGCAACTGTTCTCTCCAACTCGGTCAACTTCCCCATCCACTCCGCGCTCATCACCTCGACCCTGATAAGGTTCTGATCCATCTCAAATTGCATAGACCTCAACTTCTCCTGAAGATATTTGCACTCTACAGCAACCCCTTTGCCCAGCTCAATGTCTTCGTCCTTTGCACAAAGTTAATCCTAGAGTACACCACTTCTGCGGATAGCGTCCATCAGTTGCTAGTCCTTCTTCTCCAATTCCTCGTCGAGGGATCAAGCATCAGGGTTCGCCTTCAGCCGCTCGTACATCTCACGGCACTTATCGCAATAGCGCCAATATTTCCCCAGCATTGTCAGGAAAATCTTGGCCCGAGTGTCAGCCCTGCGAGCACTTTCAATCTCGACCATATACGTCTGAAAAACGAAAAGACAAGCTAAGGCCAGGCCAGCAAGAAAAATGAAAGGAACATGAAAGAAAAGTGAAACGTACCCTCAAGCCCATAGCGGCCACTTCATGCATCAAATCAATATCAGGAACGTTCCGAAGAGCCTCGCTCTCGGCGGCAGAGCACAAGAGGTCAAACTGCGGCACCAGGTCCTTCGTATCTCCCAGAAGGTTGATATCCGACGAAATCTCAAGAATACAGGACGGCCCTCCCGCATGAACCACCAACGGGTAAGACCCTCCTCAAACATCCTAACATCATCAGGATCAATATCAGACTCGAATTTGAAGTCGTCGACCACGACACCCTTTCCCCTTTCTGCGGCCGAAGAAGAAGCACGACCGGGTATCGAGGACGAAGGCCCGTCCAATGCAGTAGCAGCGGCCTCAAACGTCTGATCCCCCGTCACGGCAGGTGGCTGATTAATCACAGCGGCGGGAATCTACGTCGATGGTTCAGACACAACAGCTGGCAGCGTCTCTATAGGCGGAACGACATCAACTCCCGCCTCAGATCTGGTCAAGGGAAGGTCTTCCTCTAAATGTATCATGGCTGAAGGAGTCGTTTGGAACTCCACTCGCCGCCTCTTTGATGGCCCCTCCCTTTCCTCGGCACGGGAAGATTCCCTCGCTGGGGAGGTGACAGGGGCTGAAATCTCAAGTCTAGGGGTAACCTCCGCGTGTACAGCCATACCCGTAGATTCGACTGAAGCGGCCCCCGATGAAGGTCGGGTAGTAGATGCTGAGGCAGGACGAGCGAACGAGGCAGGTTGACGAAAAGCTAATGGAGGAGCCCTCGCTCTCCGCACTCTTCCTGGCATTGACAAACATTACATAAGAAACCAAGTAAAAAGGGAAGGAAGAGGAATAGCGAACAACGACGATATTACTCACCAGTAAGGGGCTTGCGTCCATATTTCTCATAGAAAGACGACCATCTACAGACACCCGCTGTATGAGAAAGGATGGCCCTCACCCACTCGCGGATACCATCAACAGGTATAGGAGGTAGCTTCGCGGCTGTAAAAACACAGTTTAGTACTACCTAAAAGAAAGCAGTCAAACATCATTCCGACAAAAAGCATAGAAACTTACGGGCGAAGTTCCATTTCTCAGGGAACCCCGTAGGATCCTCCACAAGGTGTTCGGTCCGCACATAAAAGTAATTCTCATAGAAGCGACGGTTGGCTCTATCATCCATCTTCACCACCAGACTCTTCGACCCTCGGTGGTGCATGTGAATCATCGTGCCACGTATGAGTTGGGGGCGAAAATATTGAGCATATGCCCCAAAGTGATCTCACGACCAGCAAGCTCCGCAAACTTGAGCAGCATGAGGAACAATTTATACAGGTACGGCGAAAGTTGCGTTGGGCATACCTCGTAAAAGCGGTATAAATCTACCACCAAGAGAGGGAGAGGAAGTGTGTATCCAACAATAAAGGGTAGGCGTAGAACGCGCAATACCTTGGGCGGTCAAAATGGACTATGTCGTCCCCCACCGCCGGCAGTATTCAACATGGCGAGGGATTCCCCACCTAGCCTTCAATTCTGTGATCCCCTCCTCAGTTATGACGGAGGGAGCAGGTTTCGGCTCCTCCCCGGCGGGGCTGTGGAAATCGCTCCACGCTTTCCCAGGGCGAGGCAAGATCTCAGCCACCGATGGGACCTCCTCATCTTCTACCACTTTTGCTCCTCCAGTGGCCAAAACATCATTTTTCGGCGCCGGAGTTGTGGCAGAGAGGTCAGCGCGAGAAGAATCGCCAGCCATTTGAATCAATTTGATAAAGCAAAAGGATAAAGAAAAGGAAATACGAAAATTCCTGGCTAACTGGAGAAAATAAAAAATCCGAAGTATCGGGAGAAAAAAAAGATTCGCAAAGTTCTCTTAAGTAAAGGCAAAAAAATGTGTCAAATCGAATGGTGCAGTCCTATTTATAAGAGACATAAATTTTCCAAGCACGAAACCCAAGAGTCGCCAATTGAAGTTGATAGGGCATGAAACGGTTCAATCCCCTAGGAACGTGTGTCACAATGGCAGGTAACCATAAACAACGCTTCAAGATAAACGATTTTCCTGTTCCGAAATGGCCGTTATAGTTCAAGGATATCGAAAAGACGCCGTCTCATTACTAGAATCTAAAGACCATACCCAAGGGGTAGGTAGTCAGATTTCTCTTAGATATGTAACAATCATAATCCGCCTACCAGGCTCGACAAGAGACGACCCTGGTAGACGGAGGGACTAACTGTATTGGTCAAAATCTGACCACTGCGGTCGGCCTAACCGAGATCCCGTCCAAGCGACGAGATAGTGGAAGACGACATGGTTTGCTCCAAAACCCCGTACTCACAATACCCGCCATGACAAAGAACGATATTCAGGGAACGACGAAAGCAGACGTGGGGTGAAAGTGTATTGACCCATAGTGAGGGTTCCATAACTATATATAGAGAAGGAATCTTTCATTAAAGGGGGGCTTTTTCTCTCTCTTCCCTCTTCTCTGTAATCTTCTTAGCAAGAAGGAAGGCAAAGTCATCTTCCATGGAGGATGAAAAACAGTCATCTCCATCGATAATGCAAAAGAAGAAATGAAAAATATCAATAAGATTGATCACCCCTATTTCATCTTATGCATTATTTTTTGATTTATTTATGGATCTGGAGGTTATTACGTTTGACTAAGATTTATCTCTTCATCCTTCTCTAATTGATTTAACCAAAAAGATCTCGATAATTTTTTGGTCAAACAATACATACAATAACGTCAAACTTTCAATCGTGTGAGTTTTCACGTGATACTGCTAAAGCACGCAAGTCCAACATTTATGTGGTTTCGTTCTCAAGATAATTTCCCATGGTTTGGGCTCAAGTGGGTTTTCCTTAATCTTAGCCAATCCGTGTGCATAGATCCTATTGTACATGTATTTTGGCATTATGTGCATCAGCACATATCATTCTGCTCGTCTCCAAAAATAATCCATACAATTAAGATTCCAAAATTCTGTGTGCTCCTTCAACCAGCCAACTTTCCACTCTCAAGTAGTAATAATATGAAATACCAATTGCACCCTCACACATTTCCTCATGAAATATTTTATGCAAGGGCAAAAATGTACATCCACGACTACACACCAAACTCAAAGTGTTGAAAACCATGCTCCGAAACCACAGGAATTCACAGCCAAAAGCCTCTAGTTTTGTGGAGCACTTACCTATATATTCAGAAGCATCAAATCTCTGGGAATTCAACAAACATAAACTTCAAGTCTTTTCGAAAACAAAAGCCTTCTTCAACAAATTACAAACTTTCATATGCTTAGCCAAGTGTTTAAAGAATCGAGATTAATTAGAAAATGAGTTCAACAAGCAGGGCATGTGTTACAGCAGTGAGTTTGGGAGTGGTAGAGGCACTGAAAGATCAAGGAATTTGTAGGTGGAACTACACATTAAGAGCCATACATCAACACGCAAAAAACAATGTAAGGTCATATTCACAGGCCAAGAAGCTCTCTTCTCACTCTTCTTCTTTGGTTTCTACAAACAAAGATCAATTGAAGCAGTCTGAGGAGTCTCTGAGGAAAGTCATGTATTTGAGCTTCTGGGGTCCTAATTGAACCCTAATAACAGTTAAATTTAGTGTTATCTGTTTGTACATAGTCTTTGACAATATTGAGAGGTCAAATGATGAATGGTTAAACGAGTAATTTGTAAAGCTTGGGGGTAAATTACCCAGCCAAAATTAATAATGGATAGACCTTTTTTTGTCTTTTGCAATCCACATATCTTGTCTCAATTCTCTTGTACTTTTGAGGCTTTGCACCATGTTACCATCGTTAAATTCATTTCTTATTTTTAGGTTAAAAAAATTTTGATGTGAAAATCGACGATTGCTACTTTAAAATCCCAATTACACAAATGAAAATAGCCAACAAAAAGCGACATAAATGACCATTCAGCAAAATTGGACATTTCTTGAATCAGGAACCCTTCCTACTAGGCGCCTTGATGTTATTGTAATGTCCAACACAAATCAAAACGAGAAGCTGAAAAAAAGAATGGATGATACTAAATTTGATAACGAAATTAGAAGAACAAATATCTGCTATAATCGACATTAGTAGATCAAAATTTAAAAAGTTTATTGCTTTCGAATGTTGAACCTCGTCTAATTGGAGCACATAACAATTAACACCTAATCTCTCATGTTTTTCAATTTTAATTTATACACACAGCAGCGACGTGCTAAAATTATGTGAATGTTTGTTTCTCATGATAACATGACACAGGAGTTTTGATCACTCGTTCCCCTATGTTTGCTTTAGATGCACTAAAAAATGCTATTCTCTTATTCAATTTTTATGTGATATTTTATTGTATTTGCTGAAACATCATATCTATTTGGAATTTACTCAAAAAGTAATGTTGGATTTGGGCCTCTAAATTTATTATTTACGGAAAAGGGTCAAAAATACCCCTAACGTATTAAAATAGATTAAATTTGCCCTTCATCTACCTATTGGGCCAAAATTGTCCTTAACGTTAATTTTTGGGTTAAAAATGCCCCTTTTTTTAACAGAACTATGAGATGACAAATGTGGTTCCTTTAATTAAGTAGGTGTTACCGATGTACTGGTCCACGTGGCATTCGACCCATAAATAACCGACCCATCCGGATTAATCCAAAACAACTAAAATTAGACCCATAAATAGACCCATCCGGGTTAACCAAAAACAACTAAAAGCCAATTGAGTTCAGCAGCAATGGTGGAGTTGATTTCACCAAGTTAGAAACTATTTCAGTTCAAAATTTAACAACTACCCTTGGATTAGTAGATATTAAAGCAATGATTTAAGCTTAAAACAATCTTCACAGCAAGGTACTGAAGCAATGCTTTAAGCTCCAACCAACTTTAATCAAGCAGATTAACACAATTGATCTGAACAAAGACACCCAACAGTAGAGGATTCAACAACGCCACTACGAGCTCCTCGAACCAAAGCTTTTCCCGATTCTCAGCCTTAATTCAATAGGCTTTCCAAATGATTTCAACAAACCTTAATTAGTACTTCAAATTTTTATCAACCCCAGATTCGTTCTTGAGAAGGAATTGAAAATTTTCAACCAACAGAATTCAAATTTAGTATAAAGATTTCAAAATCTTTCCACAAATTTCAGATCTATTTGTACCCCATTCCTTCCATGCTAGACATATGAAGCTATGATTTTTGGTTCAAAACTGGTGCAAACAAACTCCAATCAATTTTATCTCTAACTTCGATAAAGCTTCTTCATCCTTTAACAATGGTGGATTCTTCGCAATCCAGCCCCAATTATCGCCAAACTCTAAACAAACAAATCTAAATGGCTGAGGCTACTTTTGGGTCGGGTCGTCGAATGTCACGTGGACCAATACATCAGTAACACCTATTTAGATAAAGGACCCATATTTTCCATCTCATATTCTGTTAAAAAGAGGGGCATTTTTAACCCAAAAATTAACGTTAAGGGAAATTTTGGCCCAATAGGTGGAAGGAGGGCAAATTTAAGCTATTTTCAATACGTTAGGGGCATTTCTGACCCTTTTCCGTATTGTTTATCCCTATTTGTTTTGCAATTTACAGTCATACCCTATATTTGTGCCACCTTTTAACCTCTACCCTATTTTTAAAAATTATTGATTGGTAGCTAGCTGTTATGACCCGGGATCTCCACCTTCGGGACCGTGTTGGCGCCTAACATTTCACTTGCTTAAGCCAATTTTAATCAATTCAAATAAGTAAAACCAATTAAACTGAAATGAAACCAATACGAAATGCGGAATGACATAAAAATCGATAATATCTAAGTACAACCCGGATCTGGAGTCACAAGTTCACGAGCTTCTAGAGTTTCTACATACAGAGTTTGAAATAAGTACAACTGTCGCGAATGATAAGAACAGTAAATAGGGGGAGGTGGAAGGGGACTTCAAGGTCTGCAGACATCAGTAGTTCTACCTCGAGCCTCCAAAAGCAAATCCGAGCTGATACACCTCACGGGCAGCTGGGACCAGTACCAAAATCTGCACAAGAAGTGTAGAGTGTAGTATGAGTACAACCGACCTAATGTGCTCCGTGATTGTCGAGCCTAATCTCGATGAAGTAGTGACGAGGCTATGATAGGATACCCACGTAAATAAACCTGTGCAGATAACAATATACGTACGACATAACGACAGATAAAGGCTAAATATGTACTATTGGAGGGGACATGCGAAAGGGGTACAAGATACGATAACTACAGTAGGGAATGATAAAAAGAAACAGTCAATAAGCCATTAACGAGTAACACGAATAAACATAATGAATAAAACTGCACAGCATCGCCCTTCGTGCTTTTACTCTCAACCTCATTGTAAAACAGTAATAACGGCACGACATCTCCCTTCGTGCTTTTACTCTCAATTTCATCATGAATCAGTAGATACGACACGACATCACCCTTCGTACATTAACTCTCAAATACGGCACAGCATCACCCTTCGTGCATTGACTCTCAAATATGGCACGACATCACCCTTCATGCATTAACTCTCAAATATGGCACGGCATCACCCTTAGTGCATTAACATTCTCCCTTATCATATAACAATAAAGATATAACAACAGGGAGATAGAATAAATAAGAACAAGCCTTACGTCAATAATTGTTCCACAATACCAACCTCAACTTCAGAAACAATGCTCAGTTATCACAGATAGCCCATAAACGAGGAAAGAACGATCAATTTAATAATTAACTAGTCTAAGCATGGATATGATCAAGGAAAGCAATAAATTACAAGAACCAAATCCCACCCGCATGCTTTAGCCCAACAACAACGCATAAGTACTCTTCACCTCACATATACGTTGTACCCAACATTTAAACAAGTAGCAAATAGGCAAACAAGTCCTAATCCATTAAGTCAAGGTTAACCACAACACTTACCTCGTTCCAAATATTAACTCAAAGCTCAACCATGGCTTTGCTTTTCAAAAAAGCCTTCGAACCAATAAATCTAGCAAATTATCAACCGAACGGTTCAAAATAAGCCTTAGGAACTACTCACGATTGCAAAAGATTCAATTTTAGGTCATTATTGAAAAAGTCAACTAATGTCAACTCCTGGGCTCGCTAGGTCCAAACCCGAAATTTGGACCAAAACCCGATTACCCATTCATCCCGGAGCCCGGTTATGTAATTTATTTCGAAATCCGACCAGAATTTGAGGTCTAATTTCCAATTTTACAAAAACTCCTAATTCTATCCAAACCCCCAATTCCACCATAAAAATCCTAGATTTTAGGTTGAAATCTTATAAAATAAAATGGAAAAGTGAAAGAAAGTAGGTTGGAATCACTTACCAATGAATTGGGGAAGAAGAGCTCTTGGGAAAATCGACTCTAGGGTTCTCTAGGTTTGAAAATTTGAAAGAATGAGAAAAACCCTGTCTAACTCAACTTTGACCTAGTTGCAGATGTCGCAATTGCGATAAATTGTTCGCAATTGCGAGAAAGAGGTTGCAATTGCAAACTCCTCTCAGAATCCCAGTAATCCCAATTGCGATGAAATGATTCGAACCCTGATGCCCTTGCAAATGCGAACCCTTCTTTGCAAATGCAAAGATCCTCAAAACTATGCCGAGTCGCAATTGCTACTCTGCCTTCGTAAAAGCGGAAATGGCGAGTTTGCAATATAGAACTTTACCTCGCAAATGCGAGCCAGATCTCGCATTTAATTCCGATACTCACCCAAGCCTTCGGGGCTCCAAACAAAACATGCACATAAGTTAAAAAATATCATACAAACTTGCTCGTACGATCAAATCGCCAAAATGACACCTAGAACTACGAATCAGACACCAAATCAAAAGAAATTTTCAAGGAAACTTTAGAATTGCTATTTTAACAATCGGATGTCCGAATCATGTCAAACTAACTCCGTTTCTCACCAAATTTGACAGACAAGTCATAAATATAGTAATGGACCTATACCGAGTTCTGGAACCAAAATATGATCCAGTATCAACAAAGTCAAACATTGGTCACCTTTAGATTCATTAAGCCTTTAAACTTTCAAATTTTGACAAAAAGCGATAACTCGAGCTAGAGACCTCCGAATTCGGCTTCGGGCATACGCCCAAGTCCCAAATCACGATACGAACCCTCCGGGACAGTCAAAACACGAGTCCGGGTCCATTTGCTCAAAATATTGATCGAAGTCAACTCAATAGATTTTTAAGGCAAAATTTCATGTTTAATCATTTTTTAACATAAAAGCCTTTCAGAAAAATAACTGGACTGCGCACGCTAAGGAACTATAGTCACCGCCCCGCCATGACCAAATTACATTTTTTTGGTGTTTTACGGCAATTAAACTGGAATTTTGCCCGATTGCAATATTTTTGTGTGCTATAGCCCATGCCTTCCGCCATGGGACGGAGCCGGACCCGGATCGCCTAATATTTGTCCGAGACATCAAATACGAACGAGGGAACCATAATCACTGCCCCTCCACGAGAAAGTTTAAGAAGCTATTGGGGACTTTGAAACACAAATTTAAGGTTTAATACTCTAGATGACCTATCGGGTCATCACGTTCTCCACCTCTAAAACAACCATTCGTCCTCGAACGGACATAGAAAAGTACCCGGACTTGTAAAAAGGTGTGGATATCTAATCCGCATGTCCGACTCGGACTCCCAAGTAGCTACCTCGATGGGCTGACCTCTCCACTGCACTCGAACTGAAGGATAACTCTTTGACCTCAAC